AGGAGTAGGTGATCATATTGTCTAAAATAACAAATTTCCCTGAATATAAGCAATGGCAGTTTATCAGATTACTGACAGGAGTGTGATGTATTTTAAAGATGTGTACACTTCAAGACGACATTTTCCAGCGACTGATCTATGAGTATAGTGAATCTGTTCACTGAGTGAGCTTGAATACAGTGCAGTCAGTAGATACCATTCTGGTACAGGAATGTGAATCAGACGAATACATGATGGAGTGAGGACAAATGCTATCTAAGAGGGTAAGTCACAGAAAAGGTATATTTATTTTGAGTGTTACTTTTGATGTACCTCTGCACTTACATAGTTTGGATTTTTTTTTCCTAGGTAAAAAAAGCTTCACTTCCTACAGTGAGGCTAACAAATTGTTTTAGAACTGTGGGATGCAGCACACCCTCAATGGTGGGAACAAAGGATATAGCCACATAAACTTGTTTCCCCCTTCTTGTGCTGCACTCAGGCCTGTAGCACATTTGCAGCACAGAAGCAGAATGACTCTGGTTGGTAAGAGGAGACTGGGGAGGTGGTTTGGTAGCTGAAGTAGAAAGAATTCATGGCCCATTGCCTGATCCCCTCACCCACACCAGACGGCAAGAGGAAGATTTATCTGCCTTAAAACTTAGAGAACAAACTAACACACTATAAGGCTTTGTAAACCTCTGAAAATATTGTTCTCAATGTCATTCTCAGCAGCCTTTCATGCTGCACAGTGGTTAATAGAGATTTATATGTTTAGTATTACTCTTGAAAATCACAAACCTATAGAACCATTTCAGATGTAGTAATATGTGTGGTTGAACTTTAAAACAAATGTATTGACAGTTATAATTAATTTTACAGCTTTTAGAACTAGATTCATAAAGAAAAATTAAGTTAAAGATTTACAGGGTGTCAATAAAAATTTATTGAGGAAACTTCATAATAAACTTGAGGCACTCTATAAGGGGTGGTTCTGAAATATCATAAAAGAAACAAACACCACAGTATACATTGCACTGATTATGACATGCTATTTACAGGAAGTTACTTTAGAATTTTTTATTTATGATGTTCATTATGGAATTTCATTAGTGTGAAATATTCAAGTACTTCACAATAACCCTATAGGAATAAACGGCATTTTCTTACTGTTTTTCTTAAATTTTCTTTTTCTAAGTTTAGAGTTTGGAATGCAACAAAATGAAGGCAGGTTTGTGATAAAAGCTTGTAAAAATATTGGTCTTAATAATTTTCACAATGCTACTGTCAAATACTGATCTAGACCAAACTCCCTCATTATCAAAGGTTTTGATAGTAGTGGTCCTTATACCTACAGATCTGTTCTGGAAATGAATAGAAATGTTTTTTTCAGCTACTGCAATGATGAGTTTCTCTTAACATAAATTCCCCCAGGATTCAAAGACATAGCATATTTCTTTCATTTGGGTGAAGAAACAATTTAAAATATAAAGAGATTAGGTTTACACCAGAATACAGCTAGAAGAGAAAGAAGTATTATTATCTCTCAAGTTGTTTTCAAACAGCTTGAGCATTCACCCAAAAATCTATGATCTAATTGTGTCCTCTGCCTGACAGATCTTAAATCCCTGTCTCCCACTTCCCTGTAGGATATCCAGCAATCAGACTCTGGAGCAGTCTAAGGTGAAGTGTTATGTTTGTCTTTTGCAGAAGCTGTTTCATTTTGCATGAAAAAAGCAGCGGCTCAATGGGCTGTTCAGTGAGGATGCAGATGGCGCTCCCTGCTCTAATGATGGAATTCAGCTGGGAGCGGGGTACTTGCAGCTAAAGAATCCACAAGTGTTTAGATTAAATAAGTATTGGAGGAAAGTGCACAACACGAGTTTCTCTCCTTTCTGCACAAATTTCCTTATCAACAGGCTGGAGGAAAACTCACTTCTACTTGCTCTCTTCAACATATACACGATGAGTATTTAACTATTATTTGTAAACAAAATAGTCTTGCAGAGGAGTCTTACTCCAGAGCACCAGGCTGCCTCTCCTGCTCAGGGCACTCTTCTGAGAGGTGGGGAAGAGGTTCCCATCTACTCAGAAAGAGTGATGGGTGTACAGAGGAACATTCAGCTGTGACTTTAAGTATTTCTTATCTTAGCTGTTTTAAACAAATTATCTATTAACATTTTGGGCTCAATAAATTCTATTTTGCCCTGTCTTCTTCACAGTTCAGGGCTCAGACTTCATTCAATAGTCAGACAACTGAAAGTCTATAGTCTGAGGCTTGTCTCATTGCCAGGAGGTACACATAATGTAAAGACACAGATCTTTGCTGTCCAAGAAATTACTGACAGCATCAAAACACACATAATGTGTGTTAAGGGAGGAGCCTTAAACTTGCAAATTAAAACCTTAAAAAACAGGGCTGAGGATGTGTTAAAAATACTTAAATTCTCTTTATTGCATTATTTAAAAGGCTTATGATAAGACATACAAAACCTGTTTTCTCTCAGCTTGCCTTCTATTTAAGTAGCCAGAAGGAACACAGGGGAAAGCCTTTTGAAAATGAAGATATGGTGACTGAAGAGTCTGAAGCAATTAGTCAGTGACAGATTACATCCTTCCTTTATTGCAGAACAATCTTCAATGAGATTAATGAGAGAAACAAAATTAGTTTAATAAAGAAATTCTTTAGGGATAAAATGTTCATGCTATGCATCTGCTGTTACCATGTAATCTTGTTTTAGCTGATTAGATTGTTTTATCAGAAGCCTGGGTAGAAATATAGTGGAAGATGGAGCTCAGCATGATACTTCCGAAGTGAAGCATATAATAGTAGTCTCAGGTCATGCTGTTTGGTGTGACTGATGCACATGCAGGAAGAGTTAATGGCACTGCATTTCAATAAGCTGTAAGATTTCTGTGCTGTGGATGGATGTGCCATTTTAGTGGGAGGTTACTCAGATAATGTAGAATGACATAGAAAAGTCTCAAGAGTTGGCCTCACATTGTCTAAAAAAGGAAATAAGATTCAGGCATTAAATTTATTTGAGGAAGATGACCTGTGGGTTTTTTTCTACATAGAACCTATCCCCTTTCATGGCTATGTGAAGAGTGTTGTGCTCTCTCTTAGAAAGTCACTATAGATCCCCTCCTATTTGAGCCTTAGTCCTTTTTCTAGAATGCAGAAATACAGCTATACTGTAGAATACATAATATTTAATATGACTTTATGGAATTTTTTATTATTTGAATACAAAGAATGAAGTGATGCAATAGTGGTGTTATCTGGACTGTTAGAATCCTAAATGCTAAAAATTACTGAACAATTAGTTTTGAACCCACTTAATTGGAAGAATGGCTGGTTGGGGAAAGGGTTTATAATAACAGAGAAGAGCTAGAGCTGATTTTAGCAAGCATACCCCAACATCACAAGTAAGAGAGAAGACTGAACTTATTAAAGAGTGGAATTGAAAGGTTCCATTTCAGCAGTCTCCCAAAAAATGTGAAAGCAGCAACCAGTAAATCTCCTTTTTTCTCTTGTCTTCTTTTTTACGAAGAGACCTGAACCATGTGCATTTGAAACTACCAAAAGAGAATCATCAAATAATCTTTCTCAGCCATGTATGTTGACTTTTAATAAAGTTTAAAACACTGGGGAAATTACAGAGAACTAGAAAAAGTTCTTAAGCCAATATTTTAAAAGGGCAAACTACCCATCAAATCTCAATACTCGCCAAATAATACAGTGTTTGACATCATCATTAATAAATAATTTCACTCCCCTCTTTTTAATATCAACTTTCTTTTATGAAAACAAATCTATTCAAACTTGGTATTTTTCCTAGATTATGGATCTAGTTGATAAATAATATAAGTAATTCTTTCTTTTTCATTTTTAAATAATTCTGTCAGGCATTTGCCCTATATTATTTCACATTTTTATTAGGAAACAAGGATCTCAGTTATTAACTTAGCCTGAAAACATTAAATTGATTCAAAACTTTTTAAATGGGGTTGCAAAGAGAAAATGGTAGTGTGTAATAGAGGTTTCCTACAATGATTGATTTGAAATCTATATCATTTATCCCTAATCTATTTAACATTTTTGTTAAAGAATAAAGGATGAAAAGCAAAATAATTAGGACTACTTATGAATGTCACCAAAGTTTTTATAAAGGTAAGTAATGAATAGGCACCAATGAAGAGTAACTAGGTTAGTTTAGTTGTGGGTCTCAGATTCAGTCAAAGAAAGAAATTGAGAGTTTCTAGCCAGGCAAAAGCCTGGGAAAGAGCTGGAAAAGAATGTAAATAGTTCTTTATCTCTCTTGTTCTCACACTGTTTATAGTTAAGTTCTATCACTGTGCGTCAAACACTCTGAACCAATGTTGTAGGTTGTTTTCACTTTAGGACCAATGGATTTAACCTTTGCGAAGCTCTGTATAAAAGAGCAGTGTATTTTGAATAAATCGGAGTTTTACTCTCAGCCTTCTGAATCAGTCTTCTCATTCTCGTCCTGCCTCGACAGCGACATTTAGTAACTTCACAAAAGTAAGTAATTTGGATTTCGGTGTGATCAGCCCAGACTGCCAGTGAGCAGGGTCATGCAGGAGGGGCAGGGACGTGTGTGTGTCAGAGCTCATCTGGTACACTCTCAAGATACCCCTAAGCCTTAACGTTACTGACAAAAAGAAGTCACTTCTCTAAGAACTCAAATACTGCTATGAAGGAATATATTGCTATACCCTGATGACAGCAGGATGAAGGAATCAGTATAGCTGTGATAGCTGTAATACTGCTGCCATAGACAACAGTGCTGAAAGCAGGGATAACAAGACTTCAGTCCTGACAAATAAAGAGAAAACAAAACCTGTGGGGACCCTCTGTGTTTACTCTGTCTAGACAGTTTACATGCAGAGATTCTGGCATGAGCAAATTTCCATTGTTATGCAATATGGCCTGACCTGAAATACCCTTCACTTTACTCAGCAATTCATTGCAGGCTTGAATCAGTGAACCAAAGATGAAAGATCAGCAGTTTATTCAGTATCATTCAGCTTCATCAAGCACACCTAAAATATGAGAATGGATGTCGCAAAACTAACCGTTCAGAGTCAGAGTTGGAAGATCTTATTTATATTATCCTCAGAAGATTCCTGCCTTTTCAAAAACTCAGTAAACTTTGTAGCATGAATGCAAAACTTACATAGTAATAAGCTATATATTGGCAATAAGGTACATCAGTATGAAGATGATATCTACTGTAAGCTAAAATTATATTAATTATAACAAAACACCCATACCAGACACTTAATTCAAAGCATCTTTGCAGTAGGTACACTTGTATCTTTATCCAGTGCCTGTTTTAAAGCTGAGGTCTCAGTACTTTATACCTTTCATGCAATATCATGCTTTTTTCATGTCATACATAAAGGTTATCATGGAGTCGAATCATGAATCTAATCCACTGCATTATTTCGTGAAGTCTCACAGCAAATGTTGTGAGCCTTGCTCTCTCCCTTCTCAGTACACACATTTGCACAAAGCCTAGCACATTCGCAGATTCAACCCTGAAGGAGCTATGACAGTCCCCTACTTAGTAGCAACTTATGTTTTATCTCTTTGTGCGTGTCAAGTAAATGTCACCCAAACATATTTTTCTTTCTATTTCCAAAAATGGCTAGAGAACTGGACATGAGAAAGTTACAATAATATTTCACAGAATGTATGAATATATATATCTCTTTCCTTCAAGGAGAACATACAAATTTTGAACAATAAGTTCTTCATTCATTCATATGAAAGAAGTGGGAGACGTCATTTTTAAAATTGGTTCCTCTTCCTCCTCAAAAGGCCTTTATCTAGAAGTTCTCACATGCAGAAGCCACAGCTGTTTCTCCAGTTTCAAGTTGCTCCTTTACCCAGTTCCTTATCATATCCCATCTATGGTTCTCTAAGGCAGCATCCTTCAATGACATTCTAAATCTTGTTGGAAAAGGTGAGAAGTGCCCTTGGGGAAAAGTCCCTGCTCCCATTAGTCTCCCTGGAGTCAGAACAGGCGGTAGCACCAAGAGTTCGGAATCTGAGAAATTTATTATGAGGTTTTTGCCCTTACAGTACATCTGGTGATATTAAATACTTGGACAATTTATGCGTAGCTCTGGCAGTTAGAGAATATATGAGATATACATTTTTGAGTAGTTTGTAACTAGGACAGGTGTGGGCTGCTTTTCAAAATTCTGTTCCTAATGCAAAGGTTTCTGGGACTAATTTCTGATCCATTTTTGAATTCTAGATACAGATTTCTTCATGTGTGAAAATATATACTTTTGTCTTGCCTTGTTCTCAAGAGCAGATACATTATTGTGACTAATTTGAAAAGAAAGCAACATCCCTCTAAATCTTACTGGACTGTGCCAGACCAAAGTTAAAGTTTGGCAAATGTTACAAACTGAAAACAACATGGTACACATTTGCTAGCAACATACTGTGACCAGATAGTTGTACAGAATGACTTAATTTTTGAAGGCACCACTTTAAAGGATTACAATTTCATATATTATCATAAAATCACAGCTCTGGTGGCTCCTTAAATGAATAACAAATTTTACTCTTGTAAGATTGATTGCATACTGTCTTGGTCAATGGATGCAGTATGTAAAGTTACTTTCCATACGTACTATATTAGTGAATAATTCATACTGGAATTTACTAAACAGCAATAATTTTCAATAACTGTCTGTTTTATCAAATATATGCAGCTCTAAATCTTTTCAGTAACAGGAACTACTTGACAGAAGCCAAGAGAAGATATATTTAACCCTCCTTTACACAAATTTAATAATCTTAATAGAAATATATAGGGAGGAATATGATCTGGTGACACTGAGGATTAAATTTTTCTTTAGTCTTGTCAGAGGTAACCACTTAGAAGGAAAGATACAATTGCACCATTCCCATACAATGCACACCAGACCAGCACTTATTCAGACTCACACTCCTCCAAGTAACAAGATGCAGCTTAAAGGTAGAAATGTTGCCCCCCAACACAGAATAATCCCTGCCAGCTCTGTAGAGTTCAAATACAGGAAGATAAAATCATATTGCCGAGCATTGCTAGAGATTTTAAGTTATAGAAATGTTTCCTGCAAGACTGCTCTTCTCTCAGATTTTATTTCATCACTGACAATGAAAAAGAATTAACCAACTTTTCCTTCTTCCCACTCATCTTCAGTCATAGTATGTCATATAGGAAGACACTTTGGACCAATTTCCCCTTATTTAACCCTTGATCTTGTGCCTTACTACAAGGTTGTTTTACTGGGAGACTATTTTTGAAGAGTTTCAACTCCCTGTAACTCTTGAAGTACACTGGCAGAATTACACACGTCTTTCCATGGTTAATGTATTTCATGTTGCATTAAAATATATTTCAAAACATGCAGCATCCTGCCAGATTTGCAGTTGACATGGGAAGAACACAAGAATAATTTGTCCAGCTCAGTTTGTGTAGTGGTTCCATCTATCAGGTCATGAGACATTGCAAATCACCGCAGGTCACTGTTAAGCATCCTGTAACAGAAATGCCCAGAATTGCATGGTTTTCCTGTAATGCACATTAATGTTGTATTATAATTCACCATGTGCCATATCTCTTTGGTTGTTCTATGACTCAGAGACCTTGTCTCATTATTAATCATTTCTAAACTAAAAAAATAAAGATTAATGTGTGCACTTTCTTTAGCCGCAAACACCAGTGTAGATAAAGCACAATCTTTGCTCTAGCAGTGTTTTGCTCTCTCTACACAAGCATATAAATGACTACCCTCTTTTCTACCTTGTAAAAATAAGGCCTATAAGCAGTAATTGCTCTACTCTGTATTCCTTGCACAAGCTGCTAAATATTATATTTCTAGTAAGGTACTCTTGCATTCTAAAGATAACTTAAATGCATCCTGCTTTCATAAATAATATATTGGTGACTCACTGATGTATCATAAGACACAGTTAAGTAAGAACCATCTGGAAAACAAATCAATATTAGGTATCGGACTGTTTTAACATCTGTTGGTTCCTTTAAAATGAGATTGTGGAGACTTGTTAAACAATTTGTTTCCAGCTTCTGCTTACACTTACAATCACATCTACCACATGTTCTTTCCTTCATGAAATTAATTTAGTTTCAAGCTAAGCACTGTACTGTGGTTCTGAGAGCACTACAAATGCCAGCCATAGGATGGCATTGTCATTGAGTGCATCTGAATAGGGATGTTGGTGTAACAGAGCCTGTGGTGTGAGAGAATGATTGAGCTTTGCATATACTGAAAAGCAGCTGAAAGCAGTGTAAAAATCCCACATAAATCAAAACATAAAATGTTAGGGACAGAGTAAATGAAGAAATTAAAAGTTACAATTATTAGGTAAGGCCAGTATTGCTTTAATAAGCTTTTAAATAACTTTTCCTCTGGCATGGATTTTTTATTTGATTATTGAAAATCATGTGTGTAGTCATTACCAAGTACATTAAAATGATGTAAAGACCAGAAAACCTATAACTTCAAGGAGCAACATGAAAAAGGGAGGCTTGTAAATTGACTTTACACTTCTTTCCCCATGGGTTTTCCAGTTTTAGCACATACCCCTCCCCCCCTTTTCTGGTTGGTTGCAAGCTGAAACAGCACTATCAGTGTGTACATTTCCCACCAAAGAGTTCAGGTTCTTTCCTCTCAGCTCTTTATCCGCTGAACACACTTTTGTTCTTGCACTCCTAAAGTCCATGGTGGGCAGGCAAGGACAGCCACTCCTTGCTGGTGCTCTATGCTTCTGGAAGATAAGAGGGAGCCAGCACAGAGTCTGGGCTTTCCACAGGGGCCAGCTGATTCTGCCTATACACTCTCTTCCCTTCCTTCCCATTAACTCACCCAACATCTTAGAAATTAATGTATCTCAGAATGAGGATCAGTTTACAGATATTTTCAACGCACTTCACTACACATACATGTGACAGGGAAAAAATTATTGCATTAAGCCCCTGAATTTGAATTTAGATCAATCTAGCAAAGGTGAAAACATTTGAACATATGTGTTATTGAGCTCACTGGGTTCTGCCCTAGTATCTCATTTTCTAGTGATAAGAAAGCTTAGTGATGTATACTGTCTACGTGTCAGGTTAAAAAAAAAAGTGGGCACAGTGCAGAAGTACACACTTCAGAAATTACCCCCAGCACCCCTCTTTTTCCATCTATAATTAACCCTAACAATAGCTCAACACTTGTAACAATCCAGTCATATCAGCAATGTAATTACTCAAGTTATTCCTTACAATCTGTTCAGGAGCACATAATGATCTGAGGTTAACGAGACAGTAGTTCCTTAACTGGTTCAAAACGGATTCAGCATTTAATTCTCAGAAGACAGAGGCACAAACTCCTTCCTGCAGTTGCAATTTTATTGGTTTGATTAATAATCTTCATTTTCTCCTTAACTCTGACTTTTCTACACTCTTAAAAATTGCAGCGGTAGCTCCTCAAGGATCCTCTTCCCTCAATAGATATAATCCTAACACTATCCTTAAATTTAACCCTAATCTGAGTGGAGAAAGTCACCTGTGAGGTCTCTCCTTTGTCATGCTCCCAACGCATTCCCCATGGAGATCCCCATGCTGTTGAGAAAGTGGCACAACCAAAAGCAAGGCCAGAGCCTGCCAATGCTCATTGCACAAAGGCTTCTGCCATGCTTTGCTCCACATGCCCTCCCAAAATCAGAAATTCACCTTGGTTGTAGGTGCTCTTCCTCCTCCCCTGCCTGCAGATCAGCTTTGACCTGACCTAGATTTGACAAACTCTTCCTGATGCTGACAGCGTCTGCCTGCGCAGCAGAGCTCTGCCAGGTGCCATTGTGTCCCAGAGCAGTTGCTGTGCATGGTGGTGGCTGCCCACACACCCCTTGCCTGCCCACCAGCCAGGAGACATGGCCCAACCAGCCTCAACTTCTTACAGGGACTAATGCAGCCTGCAGCCAACTTACAGGTGCTCTAAGACATCATTAGAGAAACAGGAACAGCTTTTCCCTACATGCAAAATGCTGTGTGTGCTGCACTGTGTGAGGAGGACCCGTGGCCTCAGCCCCCATGTCCTCCTGGTGCTGCCCCTGCCCCACCAGCAGCAGTAGCAGGCAGGCTTGGCTGGGGGGCAGGACAGGGCAGCATCCATGAAATCACAAGTGCACCCTGACAGGGAGGCAGATGTCAGAGGTGTCAGAGATGTCAGCCTGACAGCAAGTGCACGGTGGCAGTGCAGCTGCCAGTCACTCAGAGCACGGTGCTGATGATGCCAAGGTCGTGGGTCTGGTCCTTGCACAGGCCATTCACTTAAGAGTTGGACTCAATGGTCCTTGTGATCCCTTCCAACTCAGAATAATCTGTGGCTGCATTTGAGTGGAAGTGTGGGCAACCCCTGATGTTCCCAAGATTTCCTCACCTGTAGCTCTCAGCATATCCCCTCCTTGTCAGACCTTCCGTCCCCATAACTTGTTTATCTTCCACACAGACTGGTCGTCATACTCAATGGCCATTGCTTTGGAGGATCCAGCATGTTTAGTACTCATTCTCTGTAGAGGAGTTTTCTCTAGGAGGGAGACACCTTCTGCACAGCTGGCTAGTACATGGGGGCAGGCACTGTGCTGCCCCTACCCTCAGACACTGTATCTACCACTGATGGTGAGAGAGGTCAGGCCAGTCAGGGTTGTTCTGATGGTTCTTTCAGGGACTGGAAAGAGTGAAGAGCACTTTAAAAAAAGGAGTATGTTAGATGTTGTCGCACTTCTGTGCATGGGTATCTAAAATTCCTCCTAGAACCTGATATTAGGGATCTGTATTTAGAGCCTGCTGCTATTATTTAGAATCTGCCATTAGAACCTTGCTGCTTTCTCATATCCACCATCTCCTGGCCTTCCTGAAATACTAGGAAACCAGACAGCTCTCTAGGCAGAGCCAGCCTAGAGGCCTGAAACAAGGACTGTGAAAGACAGGAACGGCCATGAATATCCTCTTTGTCCATGGTGCCAAAGAAAAGCCCTGCAGAATAACTCCACCTGATTTCAAGAGCTGATGCTTCTGAGCAGCACAAAACATCACCAGAGTAGGATGTACTGCAGCTCTGCTGGAGAATTTGTTACAGGGTGTGAGCCATTATGCCTCAGCTGCAGCTGTGAGAGGGGGAGGCAAGGGTCCTTGCCAGATCCTGGTAATTAGGAAGGGGACAAAGCAGATGTCCTCAGTGTGAAGTCAGTGACAAGTCTTCCTTGCTCTTCCCTCCTCTCACGTGGTCCTCCCTCGCAGCTGCCCAGCCTGCCAGCCTTGACCCCAGGGGGAGCTTTGGGCTGCCCAGGACACATGGAGAGAAAAGAGAAACCTCGGGGCTGGAGAGGCCAAGACATGAGCAGAGCACAGCCAGGGTTGGACCTGTAAATACAACTGCTTTTGAGGGCTGGTATGGGAAGATGTATATACCTGTGAAAATGCCTGGTATCCAGATAAGGCTAATTTCCATAGGTTTTTATCTTTCTGTAGGCTTATGCATTGTTACAAATTGGCCATGAGAGCATGGTTACTTACTCCAAAAGGCCAGTGTGGGCTGACTGATAAAAGAGGCATGCAGGGCATCTGAGCATCTGCCGTGTGTGCATATGTACCATGAAAACATGCCACAATGTTCCCTGTTGACCAGGTTCATATGCAACTGTTTATGAGGTAATTTGGGTTGCTTAGCAATGATGTTTGTACTTCTCAACTGCAAATGTTGGGCCAGAACCCTGCAGTGGCCCTGAGGAAAGGGACACATCTGAAAACCAAACAACTAGTGTTTGATTTTAGAAAGAGCTATTGCCCAGTCAGTTCATCTGGACTGCTCTCATTTCACCTGTGCACGGAAGGCCATCTAACTGTAAAATGAAAACAGTATAAATAGTCTGGGAATGTGGTCTCTGCGGAGAAAAAATACCCCATTGTAATAAAAATCCTATGGCAGACTGCGCAATCTGTGGTCTGACAGCCTAAAGATTGTTTTAAGAAATGGTCTGTCACTGCTGTAGCACATGACCAGTAGTGTCAGACTGACTCCATCAACTTTGTATGCAGATCTGCTCAAGTACTGAAAGACTTTCTGCTAACTGAAGTTTTAATTTAAAAGGACTTCTTGGAACAATATTCCTGCAAAACTTTCAGTGACGGAAATCTTCTTTCCCTGTCTTAATTTCATAATTGAGTGTTTTGAATGAAACTTTCCAAATGTCATCTTGAAGTATCACCTGGCAGGCAACCATGAGAATGAGAGTCTAACACAGTTATAAGTAATTGGAAGCAGAGTCTTATAATGCAAAGTGCCAGGCAAGCTTAATAACAGCCTGTGTTGCTAACCCTCTATGAGAGAATGGAATATTTTTATTCTTGATATTGGTTTAGCTGAAGTTGTGTAGGTGGCAGATTTTAGCATGTTCAGAATAAATATTTCCTGAGAAATATCACTGAATAAGAAATTAAATTGAATTATTAATTAAGGTGTTAGGCTAGCCAGATTAAATACAGATAATGTTCATATTAATTATTCTGCCATTTCTTCAATTTCTTTTATACCTAGCTTTTTATTCTCTTTTATACCTAGCACTGTAGATCTACCTCATCCTCTTCCACATTCTAATGTATTCTGATCTGACAGGAGAAATGACATGCAAAAGAGTGGCTTTTTGAAAGGCACCTTTCTGCACCTCTGTAAATGTCAGTAAATTTCCATGTAATGTATGAAATAGTTGTCACTTTAGTTTGGTAGGGGATTAAGGGAAGGATTTTACCTCTTCTGGAGTGTTTAATCAAACTGATAGCAATATATATTTTAAGGTGGATCTTCCTATACTTATCCAGGTATTTTTGATACTAGTTGGAAAGTATTCACTGCTTTGAACAGGTTTGGAATCAGTCCCTAAACTGTTCTTACAATTTATGAAAGTCTGAATTGTGGTAATAATTGAGTCATTCTTCGGAATCAGTTGTAAATATTTTTAGACCAGCTTGTGTGAAGAAACTACACACACACACATAAAACCCAGTTAAAGCTGTGGTAATTGTAATGCTCTGCTTTAATTCAGACTTGTGGCAAAATCTGCAGAGAAGCCATGCTGCAAACCTGCTTTGTACTCATTTCTGCAATTATCACTGACATAACCTCACTACCTCTTTTCTTTTTTCTAAATAAGAGGCGCAGGAATGCTATCTTACATGTATTCTGAGACTGGCTGCTTTTCTGATAGCAAGAAATTCCTCCTGCTATTCTTACACTATCTTTACGTGGAAATAAAAGCTAGTAGATGAGCTATTTACCTTCACTGTGGGCTGTCTAATCCAGCACAATCCAATACAGCAATTTACATGGACAGGTCTTGTTGGCCATATTTTCCCTTCATAATTTCATAGTCTTTTTAAACACCTTCCTATCTTGACTCTTATGTCACATCTCCAAATGTTTCCTTGCTGTGTAGGCAGCAGACCTATATTTGGCAAAAAAGGGTTGTGAATCCTGGATCCAAAACAAGATACAGAAAGGTCCATAAAAGCATAGCTGACAGATCTGAAGCAAGTCTGCATTTTAGGGGAGAGGATGAAGAGTTTTCAGCAGGAAGACAAAGTTCTGAAATCAAGATGGCTACAAATCTGTAATATTTATGCTTATTTAATGCCATGGATTAACCTCATAGATGAAGGATTTTGTGGATATGTACTTTTTAGGAAGACTGAGAACTTTGTTTTGGGGTTTTGGGGTGGCTCCACAGAGTGGCACTGTGCTGTTGCTGCTGCTGAGCACTCCCTGCCTTGATGCTGCAGGTGGGTGACCAAGAGATGAAGGCTTTCCAAAGGGAAGAGACAGAGCAGCAGTACCAGGTTCAGTGAGCAGCAGGCTAAAGAGGCACAAGGCACCTCTGTAATCAGCAGCCTACAGGGTAGGGGCACCATTGGCACTTTGGCAGGGTTTCTGGAGTGTAAGAAGGAAGCATTGCAGCATTCTTCTGTGGAGGAGAGGTAAAGCTGTGAGAGATCTCAGTCACATCTGGGGGAACAGAACGGGAAAATTCACAGGGCAGGATGTGGATGACAATTCTGGAGGAGGAAGTCTTGAGAGGATGCAGACAGAGGGGGTCAGGGAAAGTAAGTATTGACATATTTGCTCACAGTTTTATGTGCTGAGAATGGGAAGGACACTGTGGATATGTTTAAAAGAATTAATCAAAGACTCGAAACCACCACTCTGTCTGTTCCTAGCAACGCACTCTTCAGAATGCACCTAGAGCTCTAAGATGGAACGTGTAGGTTTTGAAGCCGAAGTTCAGGTCACTTCAGGAATTATTTTTTCAGGTTCTCCTCCTTTGAAGTAATCTTTTCCAGTCTGTTCAAGGTTATGAACTGAGGAATGTGTTCAGGAGCTAAAATACCAGCAGAAACTGTACATGTATTTTCATCCTGCTCTCTAACTCAACACAGAGCGATGTTCTGCTGTTGCACTGTCCTTGGGGGAAATGGCTGTAATGCAGAAAGAATTTCTTGTTGAGTCACCACATGGTGGGATTGCAGTGATGAGGAATTAATTAATCTATGCACTGCTGACCTGCCTGGTATTTTAATTACATTTTTTCATCTAATCATGGTTTATGAAAGGAAAGATACTTACATTTACATTTCTAATTCTTCTAAATGTGGGTGCTACACCAGCCACTCATGCTGAGGGATTGACAGCAACTACCCTCATATGAAAATTTGGTATAGTGAGTGTTGTCATCTTTGTTCCCTTTTTGAGTTGCTAGGCATTATCCTCTGAACTTCTTCATTTCTCCTATGGCTTGTTCAGGGTTAACGCCAACATGCCAATTATATGGCAACAAAAACCCCAAACCTTCAGTTCTTGCAGTAGCAGCACTTTGGTGGTAGTGCAACAATGTGTGATAGGACATACAGAAACCCACTGGAGAGTAGTGAGGTGGAAGAGACTGCCATGAAAAGATGTAACACAGAACTTATAGTGATTGTCATATCTCTGCGTAAGATTTATTTTAAAAACACAAGTTTTTTTTGTTTTTTTGGGTTTTTTTTAATATGTTAATATAGGATGTTTCCTAACTACTTTCTTCAGAGTTGCTCGGACACAAAGGGAAAAGTAGCCAAATGTTGCTGTCCATAGTGGGGAACTTGAGATGGTGGATTCACTAGTGATGGATCTTCCCCGGTGCTTCTAATTGTTCAGGCCATGCCTCTTTAAGTCATTAGATATATGTTGACTTTTCAAGTTGGCAAAACTCATATGCAGCACCCTCATATCATAACACAACAGCCTCTTTCACACAGTTCCTGGGGGCTGAAAAAGGAAGTAGTATTTGTGACAAGATGGCAATGATAAAGCAGATGTGTCTTTGTACATAGTAGTAAGATTTTAATTCACACAAAACAGGGATTCAACACAGCAGTGAATAAGGAGAGAGGCTTCCAGCACTCCTCTTGGCACTGTTTTAATCCTCCACATGGCCTTTCATGCAGCCTCTTCTGGTGCTCCCTATGATCTCAGTTACTCCTTCAAGACCTGACAAAATTTTACAAAAGAAAATTCCTTTTCTAAAAGCTTAGAAAGAGGTATTTAAAATGAGAATTAATACAAATTAAAATGAATGTACTTAAAAGTATCTTTTACATATAGTATCTCTTAAATATTTTGTTCACAAATTAAAAAAAAACAGCATAAAAACCAGCAACAAAAGCCTCCTCTCTTACTAAAGATTTCATTTAGACTACTTTTGTAATAATTATTTTCCTCTTTTTAATAGCCTTGAACTATCTCATCACAGCTTTAATTAGGATAACCTTTTATCTGTTTATGTTCCACAGTGACATTTGAAGATTGGCCTTCAGTGAGAGCTTTGGGTGATGTGTACACTGAGGCTTCAGAAACTTCTTCTGGACAAGCTGCCAGCAAACAATTATCCTTCTAAATGTCAATAAGCTAAACATCAATTGTCAACTTGCATCATTTCTAAAAGCCTGCTCTCTCTGTACATAACATCAAAAGTAGAATGCACACTTTAAAAAATAGACCTTGATTTTGATCATGTATTATGCATTTTTATCCCTAGGGATTTGGGTAAAGAGTATTGTACTTCGGAGATTTTAAGTTACTCTTGTACTGTTCCAAAAACAAAATGCAGATTTACAGATAAATTTTTAGAATATTGAGCAGAGGCCCTAAAGTGGTTTTAATATAAAGTTACATCAAAAAAGGATGTTTACTGAGAGGAAAAATGCACAATGGCAATTTTAAAGAAGTATCAGTACTAACATTGGCTTGTATTATGGGAGCATGGATTGGAAAGTAGTTGTGGCTGATGTTGAGTGGTGCATCTAGTGATGAGACTATGTGTTTTACAGATCAAAAATACTAATGTTGAAGAAAACACACTATTTACTTTTCACTGTCATGTAGCCATTTTTTTCCCATCTTGTACTGGTGAGTTACTTTCTGTATCAGAGCAAGAGAATCACTAATCATTACCAGCAAGGTAAGCTAATTTTATTAACAATAAGATAATTTTAATTCTCTTGGTGTTACACTGTTTCTCTCTTTTGGCACATCCAAATTTTTCTGGATTGGTAGGAGATGTACATTCCTTTCAGTAGGTTCCATGGCTAAGGCAATTTCTAACATAATCTCCCTCTTCATTTTTGTGATATATTTGAAGAAATTATGAAGTATTTCCATTTAGAAAAATATGAAAATTAATGCTGTACATTATAAATATATATAATATATGAAAAACATCTTAGGTTATGAAGAAAATAGTTCACACAATGATTCTACGCTCCTTTATTCCTACCTTTCCTTGTTAAAGGACACATGTTTTTTAATTATTGACCATCCAAAACAATTTAAAACCTCCAACAAGGCTATACTCATGAAACCACAGAATGGTTTGGGTTGGAAGGGACCATTAAAGATCATCTGTGCACAAACTCCCTGCAGTGGGCAAGGACACCTTCCACTAGACCAGGTGGCACAAAGCCCCATCCAGTATGATCTTGAACAACATCCTGGGATGGGACATTCTCAGGGAAGATATCAGACCCACGTCTCTGAATACAGACTGTAAAATACTAGCTAGTTGATTAATCAGCTGTACATTTACAAACAGCTCCATTTGCTTTTGATGCTGCTACTCTTGCAGAAACTCCATCATCTGTGCTTAGGCTTTGTGTTTGGCTTTTTCCTCTTAGGGTTTGATGGAGAAAGCAAAGCACAGTGTGATAATCCTGTCATTTTACATCAATAGCATATCTCCAATTAACCATTGAATGACTTCCAAGCTCTGCAAATGAAGTCAACACTAAAGGGATCTATCTCCCATAGTTTATTTTATTACCAGATAGAGCTAGCATATCTCCCTGCAACTCCTCCACCAACTCACAACTCTGATGAACCAATCCCTTTCCCACCCCCTCTTCATCTCCTCCATGTGCTTTAATTGATATTCATTTCAGAGCTAAGAAAATATTTGCCCCAGAGATGTATAAAACATTTATGATTGCATTTCAAAGATTTATTCTTGAATCTATAAATCTATGACAGAAGACCCTCATATATCACCTCTTGATTGCAGCGCTTTACTTTGGCATGTGTCTGACAGACAAATTGGTCAACTCTTCTATCGCAAGCAAACCTTTAATATCCCTGTTCAGGTTCTCTTTTGCTTTGGCTTTTATCACAATTGTAGAGTTGCAGGGAGATATGTTATGCTAGCTCTATCTGGTAATAAAATAAACTATGGGAGATAGATCCCTTTAGTGTTGACTTCATTTGCAGAGCTTGGAAGTCATTCAGTGGTTAATTGGAGATATGCTATTGATGTAAAATTACTATCTTGACTTTTTATCAACATTCTCTTTG